GCGACTTCCTTATAAAGCGAATATCGATAAAATTTTTTTCCCCAAACTACGCGGATCCCTTCCGCGATTAAATTCCTACAAAGCGTATCAATATTGGACAATAATAAATTTAACAGATCATTATTAATAACTTAGCGACGACGATGTATATTCAGTTACACTCCGAGATTAACATTCCGAGTTAATATTAGTAAACGCAAATATTTACAAACAAATATTTCAGTAAATAGTTTTAAAAATTATGTTTAACATTGAAAGACCCTCGTGTGAAAGTACATGAACAATTTGAAAAATAAAAATCTCAAGAGTTGACTATGTCGCAAAGAGTGATTCGTTTAGTCGAGTGGCGATTTAACACGCAATCAGTCAAACTCTTCATAACTTTCGTGACACACAAATTCGTTTCGCGTTCCTTCGAGCAGGAAACTTGGCGAAAATTTCTCTTAGGCTATTACCTGGAGCTCAAAAATTGTCCCGATTTGGAAGAAATTAGTTAGTGACATTTTATTGTTTTATACGATCATTTGGCATAAAAGAAAAGTAAAACCGCGGAATACTGCTAAATAAAATGGTGCGTTTTGCAGATATAACCAAAAAGTGTCGTTTTTCATTATTTTTTTTGCTCTTATCCAATGTAAAATTTAATTTCTAACAAAAAAGTGTTCTTGCACTTTTTTCGTATCTTGCGCCGTTTTCGAGATAATTACAAAATAATGAAAAATGACACTTTTTGATTATATCTGCAAAACGCACCACTTTATTTAGTAGCACTCCGCGGTTTTACCTTACTTTTATGCCAAATGATCGTATAAAGCAATAAAATGTCACTAACTAATTTCTTTTTTTTAAAAACCTCCAGGCCAGTAGCCTATCTGGCGAAACGCATTTCACGAGAAGTAAACGTATCCGTAAACGTATCAGCCCGTTGAATAAAGAACAGAACAGCGACCCTAAAGGTATAACTGGTAGTGTCATACGAACGCAAACGCACGGCGAGAAGTTCAGTGGTCGGGGGGTGCTTCAAGACAAAGGTGGCGCGCGGAGATCGGCGGTGAAGAGGGTGGAAAGGTAGTGGAAGAGTAGACGCATGTATTGATTACCGCTTCTCCACGCTTCTCCCTCCGTTGGAAGGAGAGAAAGTACGGCAAAGGTAAAGGGCGCAAGGGAGAAGGCGAATGCTTCGCCGGCACCTTCCAGAATCTCTCTCATACCTTGAAGAAATTCGCTCCTTGCACGCCGATCTCTTTCGCCTATTCTTATACTCTTATTTCCCTGCCTTCCATCCCGTAGCAGGATGCGACCTCGCGTTTTTGCTCATATTTTCATCGCAGTAAAATTATCAGTTTCACTGCGTCTATTTTAACGTCGATAGAATCTCAAAAACCACAACAACTCGTCGTCTACGAACTTTTATTTTAATGGATACACATGTCTTTATTTTCTATCTAGTCGACGTATTTTTCCAATTTTGCGATAAATATTGATAATTTTGTATTGTGAACAAAAAAAGTCAAATTGTTTAAACAATTGTTTTATAATTGTAATTTTATTTCTGTACAATATTCTATATTTCTATCGCCGTAGATTTTATTTTATTACACTAAGCAAGGGAGGAAATAAAAGTAAGAGGTTTGTTTATATGACAAATCTTACATTCTGTCCATTTATATATCTTAATTTTTTTTTTAACGTGATTACTTTCCTACTATTATTTATTTTCTTCCGACGTGACGGTAATCCGTTGCGTTGGAGCGCGTCGAGATGAAGGGAAGAAGGCTGTTAGCGTCATGTGCGTCATTGTCTACGTGGATACAAGTTTTCATCTGGCTCTGAGTCGCTGGAAAAAAGGCCATAATCTGGAGAATGAAAATTCTTCTTTTTTTTTTCTTGCTATCCCCATCTCGTCCACTTACAGCGGAGAGAGAACGAGGAGGTTTGCCGCAATGGTAATGAGCAGAATCCTTAATTAAGGAAAACCACGAGGAAACTAAGAGAGGGGCCAAGATCTTGCCAACAATCTTGCTTATTTAGCGATCGACTTAAGTTTTGCAAATTTTTCTTACCGGCACCGGTTAAGAAGTTCGCGTAACAAAGCACGTCAGAGTAAGGAGTCTTTTTTGTCGACGCCGCACTTACGATTAATTATCTTCACCCCGGAATATAAATTACTCCTTTCGCCATTGAGGTTTTAACAAAGAGTTAATAAACTACCATCAACGTTACGCGCTCAGACGCTCGTCTCTGTATAATTATATCCTGCGACTACATTAATTAGAAGATAAAGGATTTGACAAGATATTGTATTAAGTGGATAATTTTCACTTGCTCCATAATAGGATGAAGGGTTCACAACAATTGTTTATCAAATAAAATCCAGTTTATGAAATGGACGATTCAACAATTATCACTCTAGACTCTCCACAGGGCGAGCGGCGCAGGGAGTTAATATACATTTATTCCACCTATTAAAATGTAGATATTTTAAAATTTGTGCTTCGTATTGCAGCTGACTGTTAGAAAATTTCTGTAATCCTTCGGAACCGCACTTTACCAAACCAACTCCACTTCGCGAAACTAAACATTTAAGTAGTTTAACTTCGCGGCATCTTGGAATTTGCAAGTAGTGAATGCCACCGCGCGCTCTCGGACGATTCTCCTTGGTTCCTGATCCTTGCCGAAAATCCATTTTCGCGATTTGACTTGCAAAGCCTGGATTACTGTCCGCAAGACGGTGGTTTCCTGTCGTCGATGCAAGCCTCCTCGAATCAAGATTATTTAGAGAAGAAGACCTGCACCTCGTGTCGTCGTCAAATATTATCTTATTGTAATGCTAACTTTTTAAAATTACGTGAAAATATGCAACCGTTCTATTTCCATATATCATTTATTAAGATAAGAAAAGAAGTTACAGCTTTAGAAGTAGTCGAAGAAGAATTTTTACGACGATTTGACGTATATAAACAACGAATTGAACAATGTATTTTGTGCAAATATGTTATGAATTTTAAGAAATCTTTCCAGCAATATAGATTTGTTGATATATTTAGAAATTGTGGGATTATTTTGAAATTTTGGCTCCTAATACAGATACATATAGATGTAAATAGAAATTGTATTCAACCACATGTTGAAACGTAGAGAGATTGCAATCGATCTTGAGAAACCTAATCATTGAAGTTATAGGAAATTTATTATTTTTTGGTACCTCGGTCCCGTCACGGAACAGTGATTTTATGATCCGCGATGCCGCGTCTTTTTCTCATGCAATGCCTCAAAATATACCTCGCGTTCGCATCGCGTTTGACTTTTCAGCGTTCGTCAACGCTTCTTCGAAAGTGAAAAAGTTTGGTTTCTCGAAAGTGACGCTCGAAAGTGAAAGTTTTTTTGGTTTCTTAGAAGCGACAAACGGTGGTTTTGTTTACGTCGCGGCTTGTCACTTTTTTCGCCAAAACGCGGATTGATTTCGAAGTGGCCAAAAATAAGCTACTGTCCCCTAAAATTTTACTACTTCCTATGTCTTATTGGCTTTTGCCTCTTCTTACGATTTTTCTCCTAAGTACCTAATATTTCCAGATCTTTGGTTAGTCCCCGTGGAGACCCGGCGTAAGTTATTCGCGTTATTTCGCTTCGCGATATCGCGCGTCTGTTTGCCTATCGAAAGTGAACATCGCGCATGAACGAGTGTCGGAAGTGTCGCATCAATCGCCTCGATCCAATTTTTGTGCTATATCTTTGTGAAATGACTATAAAAAAATCTTACATGTAAAGTGCGTTTTATTCAGTATATATCGCGATATATTGCACTTGGTAGCACTAGTTGCGTCTCTGAAGAGTCTCCGTGTTTTTCATCGATATAAAGATTTCATAAAAGCGATGCTCGAACCTCGCTCGCGTCTAATTTGCGGCTAGAGACGGCTGTAGTTTCTCTTTCCAAAAAGAGTGCACGCACCGAAATGACCGACGGCCGTTCCCGTCGGATAATTCAATCACGCTTCGTGATCTCACGTTTTTTCCGTTGAAAGTGAATATATCGCGTGCTACCGAATGTCTCGATTTTGAATTGAACGGGCAATCACCTCGATCCGTCTATTTGTTTTCTATTTTGCCGATATAAAGATTAATTGTAAGATTTCAAAAATGGGTGCTCGAGTCTTGCCGCGTTTACATCGCGCGTCTATAGCCTCTCTTTCCGAAAAGTGTACGCATAAAAATATGACCGACGGCCGTACCCGTCGGTTAACTTACGCTTCGCGTTTTCGCGGTTTTCAGTCCGTCGGAAGTGAATATCGCGTACGTGCTAACAAGTATCGAATAGAACGAACGATCATCTCGGTCAGTCTATTTGTCTTACTATTTGTCGATACAAAATTTAAGATTTCAAAAAAGAGAGCAGTGCTCGAATCTTGCTGGTGCACTCGAATGTCGCGATTAGCATATTTTTTTTTTTAAGTACGCATCAAAACAGCTAATCGTTTCCGTCGGATAATTTATGCAGCTTATGTTTCGCGTTCTCGCGGTTTTTGGTCCGACGGAAGTGAATATTACGAGTGTCGAATTGGATCAGAAGATCACCTCGATCAGTCTATTTGTCGATATAAAGGTTAAGATATCAAAAAATAAACAGTGAATCTCGCTGCTCGAATGTCGCGGATAGCGACATTTTTTTTTTTTTATTTTTTTTTTTTTTCGAAAAGTGTACGCATCAAAACGACCGACGACCGTCGGGTAATTTACACTTTGCAATCTCGCGACCTTTACAATTAGTTTGTCGAAAGTCAATATCGAGTGCGAATTAATGAGTGTCGGGAGTGTCGAATCGAACAATAACAGGCGATCGTCCCGCGTGTGTCAATCGACGCGCGACTGTTTCGTAAAATTCGATAACAACGTCGCGATAACCATAAAATAAAAAAAGAGCATAATTATTTAAGTTTATAACCATATCATGGCGATAACATCTAACCTAATCTACATTTTCTAATTTGTCCGGTCGGCTGCGTGTGACGATATATATATATATATATATGTCGTTCAAGTGCAAGTGCATTATAATGTCATTTAAAGTGATATAGTGCGATTGTGAAGTGAGTGAATCTAAAAGGACGTATACTAATTGTAAGAATACATATTATAATTAAAGAGAGGAAAAAGAGATACTCGGAATTAGAGAGGAATGAGGCGATGGCGATGGCTCGTTGACCAACGAGAGTTACTTGTTCAATATGACAAACAGAGATCAGTCGCAGTCGCGCGCGAAAGTCTTTTTTTCCTCTCTAAGATTTTCGCCGGAGAATCGAACCTCCCGGAGAGGGCCAGCGGTGCGGCGGGGCGGTTAGAAAGTAACGCGGAACATGCGTGCGACACTAGAATCCATATAACGAATAACATTCCGCTTGTCTTAAATTTACACAAATATTTTATTAGTCTTAAAAATAAACGACATCGCCAAAATTACTGATTTATGGAAGGAATATTCCTCGTGAACTATTTTATTATTAACACTCTCGTAAAATGAATAATTAATGATCTTTAAGTTTACTTTCAGATTTATCAAGAATATTAATCTATTATTTATTAATGTAATTACATATCAATCAAATTTTATTAAATTACAATGACGACCTGATATTTTGTAAATCGCGAAACGTGCGGAATTTCTATAGTTCTCCCGTGATATAAAATTTGTAGAGTGTAATTAATTTCAAAAAATTTCAAATTCCTTTTGTTTCATGGTCATTAAAATATTATTGCATTTTGGTCAACTGCGGTATTTATAATTAATGGAGTAATCGAGCTGTATCGAACACACATTGATTTTAATGTACCTCTCGATCGCATGGAAATTATCGTTAGTCAATATGCCATGTGGAATTCTCCGTCACGCGGAAGTTACGAATTCCATTAACGCGATCGATCGGGGCGCGAAACTCACCCCGCTCGGTCTTAATTCGATAATTAATTTTCCACAGTTTTCCACGTATACACATACAACGTGATTTTTCTCGGTTGACACCATAGCGTCGATGTTAGAAAGCTGATAAACGCAAAATCAGAATCGTTCCGTTTCGTTTCGCTGACTGTCGCTGGCATCGTGTCGCGAACGAAGCTGTCCCGCGAAGTTATACCTCTCTATACGAAAATGCGGAAGAAAAATCGTGCATTTTACCTTCGCTTTTTGAATGCGCCGTGTACACTGTATAGATAATAAATCATGATAAATCGTAAGTCGAAATGTGGCACATCTAGATATTCTCAGTCGCGCTTTACCGCGTGCTGTCGGTTGGTTTTGTACCAGAGCGTAATAAATCGTGTATTATTACCTTTCATCATATCACGTTGAGATTTTAAGCAGAATTCTGGTATAATGTGAACAGATATTATGTATCGTTCTCGCATTTATTATCGGCATTTAGAATCGGAATATATTCGATTGGAATACATTTGAGATTGCATTGTGCACACTAAGAAAAAAGTTATTAATTTGACTAAATTACTTTTAGTTTTTCTTTTCAGTGTAGAACATTTAATAAGACGCGCCATCTTTGTAATGAAATGTAATAAGATAAAGAATGTAATATATACAGTCGTATGTTTGAAAAAATATGATCTTAAGTTAATTTACCTATTAATAATCATTTTTTATATTATTTTATAAAAACCTGCGATAATCGTTATTTATTCTTCTCTATTACAAATAAATATAATTGTTTCTAATGTCAAAAAAATGTAAGATTATTTTTTACTGACGGTATTAATTATCTTTCCTCTTCTTTTTGACTTCAAACAATTTTAACGACGAAGCATAAGAAAATCGAACTTTATGGTAGACTGAAACGTGTTTGGTTTGAGCAATGTTCACGCCGCACGTACGCAATATGCAACTTCTACTTGAGCGTATAAATCACGACTAACTAAGTAGTAATTTATATCTAGCACTTACCGAAGTTAGTGCTTATGAGCTACAGCTTCGGCGGCTGTAACTAGCGTACGCCAGACGCGCGCGCAACGTGGGTCTTCTAGTCTTTCAAACAGATTGCCATAAAAGTTTGTAGTTATCGATATCTTTCAAGGCTTAACTATCTCGAGCAATTTCCAAGGGCGGACTAATTCGGATTTATGACTGCTGGGTGGCATGCGATTACGCCGGAAACACACGACTCCGTGGACTCCAACGGGTCCTGGCAACTTGTCACCGCCGAAAGGTACATGTGTTTACCTTTCATTACGTCGCGTAACAATTGCAGGCGTCTCCGCGATGCAAAATCCCTCCCGTCTAGCGACGCCGATGTTCCCGAAGTAGGATCAAATTTATTACCAGCCGCGCGCGCGCGCACGTCGCGTTCGCGAATCGTGCGTGTAATACTGTTAAAGTACACACCCGCTCAATCAGCACGAAACGTGCAAATCGGCCATTTCGCACTCACGGATTATCGGGATCCACTGGGCTCCAGGATATTGCGGCGGAAACACGGAAGCGCGTAAACGCGTCGACGTTATCCCTCACTTCGATTCGCCTCGTTCACCATCGAATAAACGGCATGCCACAATTCCCATCAACCCCCCTCCGATCGTGCGCGACACCCGTTCGTCCGTGTCATTTCATCTGGCAAGATTCGAACAACCGTCAATCGATTATCCGCGGTAACAGGGGGGGGGGGGACTTATATGATCATAACTTCTATGTATCCTAAACAGAAGGATTGTTCTTTGAATAATTTTCCACTTGATATATTTCGATCTATTTTTGACCAATATTTTCTCTATTAAAATTAACACTATAATATTTTGAATTATTAAAATCGCTATTGTTAAGTTAATAGATAAGTATGAATTAAGATTCGTGAATTCTTCAAAAATAAATCTGAATAGGTAGGTATGTCAAAATGAGAATAAACATACATTGATGAACAAAGACATGAGCGTAAACAAATCCGAACACTGATGAATAAAACTTTATAATTGCTATGCTTTATTGAAAAAACAGCATATAAATTCAATGCATATTATCGAGCATTCATGTTTATTCATATATATTGTGCTCTATTCTTGAAAGCAAAAGCCACAAATGTTTTTTTTTCTTTCTTTCCTTAATTTTTACAATAATATATAACAGTGGTTAATAAATATTTTTCTTCTTTTTATGTTACAATATTTATTATTATATTTATTCTTCAGGCAACAATTAAATCACTCAGGAATACCGAATTAGTATTCTCTTCCGTTTGCACGACTCAATTTGTTCATGTTCGCATTTGTTCGTTAATACATTTGTCCTCGTTCAGTTTCGTTCATTGCCGTGTATAATACGCCTTTACGATAACGTGCACCGCGCGCGTTTGTCGTTTTTCCTTGAAGAATGTCTAGGGCTTTCTTGGAAATGGAAGGGCAGCCCCACAAAGCGCCGTTCTTTCATGCAATCGGCATTTTCTACAGGCGGAGCCGCCGCGAAACAGTCCGGTAAATAGCCTCAGACCTTTCGTTTCGTTCACCATCGCATTGGCTGACAGTTGTTTTCCCAAAAGCATCGACGTCCGGCATAGACGGGAAATTGAATTTCTACCACCACACGACGCGTGCCTCCTGCTTTCATTCGGCGCCATAGCGCAGCGACGCTCGCATTGCACCCGAACGGAAACCGCGCGACGGGAAAAAGTGGACGAAGAAGTTAGAAAATACGCGGGGAGATCGCTGTCTTCCTCGGGGTCGCGCACGCAATTTCCTCACTATGCTCTTATTAACGATGGCCTGCATCGGATCGATGAAGCGTGTGTAAAATAAAAGATTTCGTTCACTTTTTGACACTGGAAACTTATTGATTAGCGTCAAATATTTATTCCATTTCGACGTAATTAGATAATTTTCGTCATGTGCAGAAACTCTTTTTTTTATATCATAATCGTTTCATTCGACAAGTCAAATCTTTGATTATGTCGTAATAAAAAAAAAAGAAATCTTTAAGAGAAATATTATTTGAATCAAATCGATATCTTTCTACAACTCTATAATATTAATATATATTATTAAAGTACTAAATTTGCAGTTTCTTAACGATAATAAATACCATCTGATAATTCAAATACGTGTCTCGTGCATTAATTATTAATATCGACAGTCCTGGCGTTTAATTTACATTCTAATAAATATGCAAAATAAATCTGCGTCTTTATAGGAATTTCGTTCGTTTACAGTTAAGTTCCCGGTGCGCGAGGGCGCAACTGGTGGCGAAAGCCAGCGGAGAGAGAGAAACGAGAAAAAGAAAGCTCGAGTGTACAAGCGAGGGACAGAGAGATGAGGAGCCGACGACGGAGATGGCGTATTTATTACATCCCGGCGGAATTGCTTGCGAGACGGTGATACATAAGTAACCAGAATTGCAAAATTAGAAATGAATATTAAGCAAGAGAGCGCACCACCACCGTCGGCAAACAAAGTGCGACGAAATAGCAGGGTACATAAATAAACTCGCGCCGGGATGGAACTTCTGGAAATTATGCCGCCGTAAAAGCTGTCATACGCAAACGTTACACAAAAGTCGGCGTAATTGCGAAATCGAGTCGGCGCCCATCGCGCATGTATATACGCTACCTTCGATTTTACACGCGTGTCCGACGTCCGTATCGAACGCTTCTCTTCTGTAGGTTCAACGAGAGTTTGTATCGCTTCACCGGCGAAACTTCAGCAAGCGCAGCGGTTGCTGTGGAATTCGGACATCAGATGTCACTCAGGCGTGGTGGCCGCCCTCGGGGACTTGAGATTTAAAACCACAACAACGAGGGTTGATCAGTGCGCGTTCGATGGATAAAAGCACGAATACCGCCACCCTCCTGTGACTGCCACGTGTTGCCTTGATTCTTATCCCAAAAATGTTTACTACACGATATCGACATCTGCACACCTACACTTTTGTATTTCTGTATTATAATTAATTAATTGTATATATCTGCACCTCTTTGATATAATTTTACTTACATTTGAAACACACAATCTAAAATTAATTATTATCTTGTACATTACTATATTTTTGTACATGAGTATCTAAGTATATGCGATGTCCAAAATTGTATTTTTCAAAAATCATATATTTTCACGATTGTTATTTAAATATTAATTTAATAAAATAGATGAATGTTTTGTTTTATATTTCGTATCAATAGCATATATTTTCATTTTCATTGTCTTCTTGTACAATTAGCCACATTGTCGTTTTAATTACGGAATCGTATATTGCTTGAATTCTACCTGGTTGAATTGCACCTACTTTAGGTGCAATTACACATCCATGCGTTTTAAATTATCTACCATTAACTTTGCACAACAGGCACGCATAATACACCATGTGTACTATGCGATCCTATACAGTAATAATGGAAAATATGAGAAACAGAGAAACGCCGCCGACGAACGGAGTGTCGTGCACCCAAATCACATTACACCGCGATTATTTGAATTTATACGAGACTACAGGCCATCCTATAAACTGCCATCGTTTAGTTGCGGTATTTCGAGATTTCGGACAATGACTCTATGTAGCCAGTAAATAAATCTAAATTCACTCTGCAATCCGTGCACGCTAGGGACACCGTAAAGCATTCTCTACGTGCTTTCTATAATGACATAGCGCACGTTTGTAAATCCACTTAACGGTACATTAGCGATCATATGGCTACGCTCACGAATTTCGCGAACGTTTCATATTATTGAATACGAACAAATCACACACAAACGATGTATCTGTAAACACGGTAAAATATGGGTCTGTTTATTAGCGCATCAGTAACAAATAGAATTACAAAGGGACTGTGTTATTAAATCACTATATCACAAAGTATATTTGCCTAACAGCTGTGTTATTAAATCACTATATCACAAAGTATATTTATTTAAACTATTTAAATAAACAACAAAATGGAAAATTCTGTGCAATTGCACAATACTTTCTGCTTAAGCGCAAACATGTTGAAACGTTGGGAAATTACAAGACGGTGTTATCTCTCATCCAATTATGTAAACTTACTTTCGGAAATAGGTGCGGATCCAATAGAACTGAACGGTAGACAAAGGGTTAAATACAGGATAATTATTTCACCCTCGAAAGCTTGCTTTCCTCCTATGCAAATCATGTAAAACGGGAGAGGATAATGAATTCAATTTCGGGAAATTCGAACGCAAAGTGAAATAAAGCATACCGGGCCGCTATACGAATCACAACTATTCTCTAATACCAGAAATTTTTTCGTCGCTGTTCGCACAATTCAACTGAGATTTTTTTATCCTCAAAAATTCCCCAAATATGTAAAACCAGAATTGTTTCGTTATTATTTGTAAGCTATGATTTTACAGCTGATGTATATAGAAGCTTGTTATACTTATTATTAGTAGATAATATTCTAATATCGAATCACAGTATTATTTAACTTTACCAATTTCCAGGAATTGGTTTGACAGCTGTAAAAGATTAAGAATCCTTAAGTGCACGTCTCCAGCCGAGTGCGCAGGAAGAAGCCTAGAACTTTAGTAGTTTACATCGTGGTCTCTTGCACAGAATGCAACTAGTGGTTACCAACAGGAGATATTCGAAATGTATGCACAAGATAGACGCATACACACATAGCATACAAAATTACGAATCTTGTTTCGGTATTTCCGCGAGTGCGACGGTAACGTTAGATACTAAGCGTCAGGTGCAGGCGGCGGTGACGAGCCGGAGTCGCACGAGGGAAAACCGAGGCAGAGGAAGGACGATAAGGGCGAAAAGGGATAGAGAGAGAGAGAGAGGAGAGAGAGAGAGAACGTGAGGGGTTGTCGGCAGAGAAAATGCATGCCTAGGGAAGGCACGCATACACGGCGTACAGCGAATTATGCGGTGAATCTTCGAGTTTATACTCGTGCACGTAACAATGCCGGGAACTTCGGGCGTTTACACGCGGATCCCGGCGGCAACGTGCAACGTGCATCCACCGCCCGCGGGCGGTAGGGGCACACCGGGGGCTACGGCGAATTATGTGGCGTTCCGCGTGGTTTATGCGGGCGGCGCGCGCGAAAAACGCCGGAACTTCAGATGTTTACATCGGCAGGCGCGGAGGCAGGAACGAGAGTTCGTACCAATGGTAACGAACGAAAGAGAAAAGTGAGAGAAAGTGCATATGCGCGGCGGGCGGGCGGGCGGGCGGGGTGGAGGAGGGGCATGGAACAGGGGAAGAACATTTGCGTGTTTGCGCCGGTTCCGCGCAGTTAGCGGTAACAAACGGCGGACGCGGACGACGGAAAAAGTTTCGGTCGCGCGTTTTGCGAGAGTGCACTTAACGAAAAAGAGTCGAATATTTATTTTCCCGCTAGAACGGCGAAACATTTCTGGAATTTCTTTTTGCAGCGACTTCGCGCAATGTATACGAGGGCCCGGACAAGGGCTGGCTGACGGGGGAGGGGAAGGGGGGAGGGGGAAGGGGGGAAGGGGCGAATGTCAAAAAATTCGTCGCGCAGAGGAGCTCGACGATACGATAGACATCACTTTCATGCGGGTGTGCGAATCCGGGCGAAGCCCGCGGCGATGTGAAACGTACGCGGCGGAAATTAACGAAAGCTCCATGTGTGTATGTCAATTGATCGGGTTTGACCAGTCAATCCGAAATCGCTCGCCGCGTTAATACGTAATGAAAACATTGTAGCTGCTCGTATATTAGCAGCGGACGGGCGCGCGGTACCGCGCGCCAACCAAAGTAATACGTAATGCAGCGAGGCGCGCTCCAATCTTCGGTGGTATAAATTATCGGGTCGAGCATAATTTAGAGAGTGATGTCGGACGGTCGAAGGGTGCCACCCTCATGCGCGACGCTCGGGTGAACTGGTTTATGCTTCCGTTTCCTCTTTCCCTCAGCCCCTCGTTTCGTCCCGTGAGTTGAACTTTCCTCTGCCATTCTCTCGTTCTCCCTTCGTCTGCCCACCTCTCTAGCTCCCGTATTCTCTCTCGCGCCGTCTTTCCCACTCTCGTACTTCGACGAGAGATCTGCCACTCCTCGAGGACGACATAGTTTTAATTGGTTTAGCAGTGTTCTCTGTCGGGTGTCAGGGCACCACGACGCTGACGATGACAAATGGCCGGAGTAACCCCTTGGTTCGCTTCCCCCGTCGCCGAATTCCGCGTGCCACCGGAGAAACGCGAGGGTTGTTGCGCGCGAGTCGCCGATATCTTAAGAGAACCGCCAGCGAGAATTTTCTTCGTGTTTCTTTCAAAAGTTTGGTGAAACGGCATTTTTTTTCCTTGCAGGACATTCCACGGCGTAATTCTCTCGGGATAGATCCGTTTAATATTTAGCTTCAGTATTTTGCGACGCTTATGATACAGTTGTGTAAAGTTTTACATTAAAATAACCGATACTTATACGACATATTGTAAAATTACTGGTTATTTTTTTTATATAAATAGGAATTATTTTTTTAAATTTAGCATTTTATTTCTTTTCTTTGTCGACAAATGAAAAAGCAGTATATAAATATAAAGATTATTTTATAACTTGTGGTCGTTACAATGCAAGGATTTGGAAAACCAGATTTCCAGTTTTGAATTGATTTGAATTTTGAAATCGTATTTCCGATCTGTTTCCGTATGCGCCTTGCAATCTGATTAATCTCATGTGATGATAGAGATTCGATTTCATGCAACCTCTGTGTGATTCTCGGCTCTCGTAGATTCTATTCCCATCAAATGCGGGAAGATAGCGTATCTTACGATACTTCTTTCTTCCCTCTTTCTGCGGCTTCTACCACGAAATCGTACATATTTGCGTAATCCGCTCCAAAATGGAGAAGAATCGAGAAAATCCTCGGGACCCACCTATATTTATTCATATTTGTGTCGTGTCTGTCGTATATATTCCGAATCATTTTCAAATCGGAATAAATCACACCGCGGGTATAAGGATCTAAAGCTTACTCTTTGTAAGCAAGCTTTGCGCGGAATATTCGAACGCAGAATATTGAAATTGCGAGCGCGCAAAATCTGAAATCGCAAACGTAACTGCGAACCAGTTTCGGAACTATATTGACTATATATTGATACTAATGATCTCTCTCTCTCTCTCTCTCTCTCTCTCTCTCTCTCTCTCTCTCTCCGTGTGTGTCTTCGAATTTAAACAACATAATATTTAAAGACGTTTTAAATAAGATTATTATATTGCTCTTAAGACACAAACTGCTTTTTGCGAGATCGTCTTATACAAATCGCATTTCCTGTACGCAATTCCCGTTCGGTGCAACACGCAATTCGGAAGGATAGCGGTTCCTCTTGTTACAGAAGTCGGTGTTCTACCAGCGAGAAATACGTGGTGCCGTTGATGAGAATTACAGTGCAGAGGGAAGAGACAGATACAGAAACAAGGTAAGCTCTCGGGCCCCGAGATATAATACTTCCATAGTCGACGAGGTAACCGTCCGAAGACAATGTATTTTGCTCGACGTTCGACGAAATTGAATTACCGTCAGATCGAGAGAGCCCGGGCACTTCCTCTCCTCGCCGCCATCTCCTGGTTTCAATTCCTACGCGGCTGCAGCACTGCGATTGGACGAGCGTTGAGAAATTAAATAAGAGCGCGCAAACAGAGAGGACGTAAGAAAGTTCGTTAAAGAGAGACCGGGGACGCGCCGGGGAAGAGGAGTAAGGCCAAACAAGACGCGCTTTTTATTTTGCCCCCGGATACAATCGAATCTTTCCTTGCGCCCCTCTATATAGTGATATATCCATTTACGTCTAACAAGCGAGATAAGTCCTCGATGCAACGATCGGCAGTACTGCGTCCTAATCGTTTATCGTGGAATTCTATTGAAATAGAAGACGCGACTCCGCGAAGATTCGTCTGAGATACCAAGATATCTTTCCAAGTATAACGAATTTCCTGCTAAACTTGGTGAATTCGGATTGACGCTGTCACAACTAAATTTCAAC